GAGTTTTAAGAAATTTTAATTATCAAATTTTAACGAAAATTACGGCATTCCAAAATCTATTTTACCTAACTTCACTCCAAATCGTCTTTTATTTATCTTTACGTAAAGATATTAGCTAAATAACTTTATGTATTCTATACCATTCCACCTACCTATCAACAACAGTGGCCCATCCGTCCACAGAATCAACTTTATTTTCATAATGTAATTTCATCAGAGTAACGTCTTTATAATAATGATATATTTATATGATGGAGAATGGCTAAAAAGAGTGTAGGTATAGCAGTCCTCACTCTAAAAATTTCTCAGAAATTGAAGTTGTTTATAAAAGTCATGTATGTTATAGCCTATAGGACTTTATTGCTTACAGGTGTACATTAAATTATCTATAACAGTGGCTGCACCCGTCCGCATTATCCTAGGACGTCTTTTTTTATCACTTATTTATTCGTATATTGTTCCGCGGGATTCGCGGCCAGCTGCAACAGCAATTTTTATATTTGAACGCGAAAAAATGAATGTTACAAAGTTAATGTTCACTATAAAAAACATGAGCTATACTCACAACTAGATCAAACGTCAGAACTAGATTTCACTTTTCCGAGGGAGACCTTCACCTTCTGACACGCGGGTGTGCATACATTATTTCGTCCTTCTACGCGGTAATTTTTTTTTTTCTTTACCAGAACTAAAACGTTGCAAAACATTCAATCTACCATTAAATATTCAAATAGCTATTAATGTCGTGCGTATGCCACGGCTGTTTTACATATATAACTATAGTTTAATATCCGATTTATAAATATTGCGATACAGTCATACCGTGTATGTGTGCGTATAATATCATAATTTCATTTTTATATACCATGTGCGTACGCTAATAAGGCTTGCAGTGCGTATATAGTAAAATATAATATGACGACGCTCACCATATTATTATACATATGTATACCTAATGGCTAATAATATATGTATAGTGGAAAATTGATATGAGTGATATAATAATATTATGCCTATATATGTTATTACCGAAAACAAAAATTGAAATATTCCGCATGTTACGATGGAAGTCTTTGCCGTTTCGTTTCACTGCACCACTCGGATCCTGCGCCAAAATACCCGTGTCTAGTGGATATAGTCTTAATATATAGGTATATAACGAGTCACGTATTCGTGCATTCGAACATTACCAAAAATATTATAGTATTTCATATCACATTATTCCGAACGGAGCCAGAAATTTATAGGTTTTACAAATCTATTTCTTTTTCTTTTGTGATCAATTTTTCGATTAGCAGAAATCCTATAAAACATTCACCATGTGGATTTTCTGGACAATTTATTTTGAAAACGACTCTAAATTCTCATCGATTTTTAAACAACTGACATGACAATGACGATTCAACAATTTTAAAACTTACTCAGTACTTTTACATAAGTACGAGTATTTGTAAACTGCTATAATAACAAAAGAAAAGGCGCGGATATACTTTGCACAATGGGTGGGCTACTGTTGTAGATGAGGAGTTAGGAAGATAAGATATAGAGAAACTGAATGTATATCTGTACGAAAATATTAATCTTTGCTAATAAAAAACGATTCCGAGCAAAATTCTGTTATACATGTTTTGAAAGGCCTAATTATTTAGGATTTGAAAATAATACATTTCGTACGTTTTCTTATTTTCCTGCGTTTTTTCTGGTTTTTCCCATTTATTATGAAAATTTCTGAGAAAACCAAAAAAAATACCTGCTTAACTTATCTGACCTCAGTCAGATTTCTATTCAAAAAAATTACTACAGTTAAAAATTAAAGTAAGATTTTTGGTAGAAAATTTGTTTACAGATAAAAAAAAATAAATATCATTGTAAAACCAATACATTCCTCAATCCTCTTAGAATCTAAAAATTTACCAATGACCAAAAAACCCTTATTATCAGCTAGACTTGTCCATTCTATATAATATTAATTATACATTATATATTTATAATAATATATTATGTTAACTTTAAAAAAAAAATGAAAACAAAATAAAACAGAAAAAAAATCAACAAAAACTTAAGGAAGAAGAACAACAAATCAGAAAAAAAAGAAAAGAAATAACTGACAGACACAAAAGAAACCATTTCAAATCTCGAAAAACAATATTTAAATGTTAAAAAAGTAGAAGCAAAATAGAAAAAAGCAGCTGATGCAGTTTTAGAAGAAATCACTAAGCGAATGAGTAACTTCAAAACACAATTAACAGTAACGATTTAGTTAATGCTCAAGTAGCAGTGGGGATATCAGATGCGGCAAAAAACTTCGTGGAGAAGTATTAAAACTAAATCACTACAAACAAAAATTGAGAAAAGAAATTCTAATCTGATTTCTCAATTTATTTTTGAAAAATCAAAAAATAATTTGTTAAAATTTCAAAATTGCGAAATAAATCGATTAAGTATATTTTTAAGATTACTTATACAGATTTTATTTATTAGAAAGTATCTTTTTATGAGTCTAAGTATTTTATTTGTTGTATAAGTATAATTTATATTAAATTATCACTAATAATAAGTTGTATATTATTTAATTTTAGTGTATTATAAAGTTGAAAATGTTTTTATAATAATGTTATTGTAGTAAAATAAAAAGTAAAAAGTTAAAATAAGGAAGGTGACAGTAGAATAATACGGTGGTGTGGGAATGAGAAAAATAGTTAAATATAATATATATTCGTATGGTGTGAAATAATATTGTCTGTGCGTAAGACATACAAACATGAACACACAGCGATTGGTCTGTCGATAAATATGTGTATACAGTAATTTGGTAATCTTTGTGGGGGGAATACATTTTTTTACATTTTACCTATTATCCTTCACCAAAAAAATTTTTAAAAAATTGTACTTATCATAATCACCTTTTAGTACAATAAATGTATGTATTTACGTATGTGATAATCTAATCATAATATGTTCGTCGGATAATCTAAGCAGTTACTAGATACATACGCAGTATGTATTACGCTAAATAAATTTAATAAACGTAACTATAAGCAGTAACTACACAACATATTATACTGCGTTCTTTTCTAGAATATATCATTATTGCTTAATTATCTATTATTCGGTGATATTTTGGCAGATACTATATGTGTAAAGCTCATTTAGAGGGTCTAAATGATGTTTTACTGCTTTTTAATCTAGAAAAATTGATGTAAAATGGCTTAATAAAAAATAGGTAATCTTATTTATAAAAAATGTCAGTTGCTGCTTTTCACTTTAGCAGAGCAGTAAGCACCTGCGTTTATTACGAAGTATTTATGTACAAATAGCATGGGGATTCAGGGTTATTTTGTATTACTTCCATAAAATATACCTATAAATTATATAATATAATAATATTTATATTTAAATAAGGACATAAATATAGTTCCCTAGTCTTTAAAAAAAAAAATGTCCTGTGAGAGGATATGACACCCAAATCCCCCTCCGTAGTTACGCCACTGTGTGTACTTATCGTCTTATATATGTTTGTGTTTATTATATGGTCATTGCCGTGACATATATATATACATACTAATTTAAAGGGGGTATGGTAAATTCCTACAAAAGTAGGTAATCTCTTATACTGACATAATGTTAACTCCTACAAATAAAGTATTGTGTTTAATATTGACCCACAGCTACCAACACGAGATTATTTTTAATTCTTTTATTTTCGTTTACCTAAATTTTATTACTTTAAATTCTATTACGAAAATATTTAAATAATCACTTACCTTTGTATACTCCTTGAAGTTCGCAAGAAGTTCTTTGCTTCTAAATATAAGGAGCAACTATAAGGATGCGTAGGTTTCGATGAATTGTTACAATAAATACAAGTGGGTTTTCTAACCCTTTGTAACCAAGTCTACTATACCTGCAATAGGTATCTATATGGCTATACTGAGACGTCGGGTTACTAATAAGTGACGACTTGCGAGTAAACCATTTGTTTAGTGTATTTATGATGTTTATTCGTGTATTATGATATAACGTGCTTAGTTCAATACACATATACAGACAGTCATTTATCCTGACTAACAACCACGGCTCGTTTAGGTTACAAATTGTAACCCAGCTTTTAAATGAACATGTCTCTGTGGTCAACAAATAAGTTTAAAAAAATTACAAGAACGTATTACATTATATTATCCTAATAATAATATGTTAAATTTGAATTATTTATTATATTTCAATAAACGTTTTTAAATAAAATCGTCGATTTTGGTCACTTTATTCAAGAAAAAAAAGTCACTTATTAGTCACTTTTTTAATTTTTTAAAATTATGAACAAAATGGCTCTGCTCTGCTGACACGGTAAGTCATAATAGGTATATATACATTTGTATTATGAGTGAGTGATTATTATTTGTTTGTATGTATATAATATAGAAATTAGAAAGAAGTACTGTATAATACCACTTGAATTAACGATGATACTGTTATAATAGGACAGAGTAATGAATAAATGTATATCAGTCATTGACAGGGCAAACACCAGCTCTTCATCATTCATTTCGCCCCCCGTTTATTTTACCACTATTTTTTCGTCGCTAACAATTTACTGTCATTTTTTCGCCCAGAAATATTTTTTTTGTTTTAAAACTAGCGCCGTTGTTTATCAAGGATGGTGTGATCTTCACTATGATGTATAGATATATTAAAGGCACTTTGTATTAAATATATCACCTCTTCTGATTTTTGGATCAAGTATACTTCAGTGGGATTTGGTGATGAAAATAAAAATTTAATTTTTCTCTTGTATCCTAAAAGAAAACCCTATTAAAAAAAAAAAATATGAAAAATGACAGTTATTAGCATTCGAATAACACTGTAGGACACCTGAATATTTTTTTTTTTTTAAATTCCCTGGGGCTTTATTATTTAAACGACCTGATGGTCTTTATAAATATGTTTAACAGGATATATCTTGCATACTAGATGATAATATATATACATTACACATTGATGAAGTCACACTTCCAATAAAGTGGCTCCTGTACTTAATTTAAACACTTAAACTAAGTCGTATGGTTTCAGACGTTTAAGGCGTCTAATGTCTTTGGAGTTGTCTAACAGTTTGATGGCCATTGGGTTGATATGGTCCTCTAATCTCCTCTCGTGTTTACGAGCAAACTTTTGGATTTCTTCTGCTATTGTAGGCAGCATCATATCGCGGTGAATGGCATCGTTTCTTTCAAACCCGTTGGCGTTCCATGCTATGATCCGCAGTGTGTGGTTCATTTCTTTATTTTCTGCGAGGTATTTTTGGACTTTGTCTGGTTTATTTCCAGTTTGTCCATTCTTGCTGTGATTTTTGTTAGTGTCAGCGTTACGTTGGTTAACGCGACTAGAATATCATTAAGAGTAGTGGATTCTTCGTTTTCCTTTGGTTGAGGTGTTTTTGGATGGACTTTTGAAGTACTAGCCATCTGCGCGTATGAAACGTTTTTTGTGACAGGTTTCTGCTGTATTCTTTGCATAGCAAAAACTTGTTGTGGGTGTGCTCTTTCTATTACTTTCTTGTAAGCAGAGCGACCCNTTCAGTTCTGTGTCCTTCACTACATTTTACGCATACAGACGATCTGTGACGATCCGAGAGCTTGGCAGTTCTTATACTGCGGTACTTCTTGTTTTTTACGTGGTGGTTCTATTTTTATTATCTGATGACATAGTAGTTTTATGTTGTATATGTCTTGATTATTTTCCCGCGGTTTTAAATCTACAAAGAATAATGGTAGCCTTATGTATGTCCACTCGCTGTTTTTGTTTTTAGGATCGGATTTTTTTTTGATCTGTATATTGGTTATTTTGCTTACTTCGTGGCCTTGGTCATACAGTTCATTGGTAATTATTCCCATATCTGAGTCATGATTTATACCTCGTAATACTACTCGAAATAGTTTTTCACTTTTTAATTGGTACCGATGGTATTCAACTTTATTTTCTTCTAATATTTTTATTGTACTTCTAAATTGACTTTCGTTTTTTGTTACGATTCTCGTCTCTTCATTCGATAGGACTTTGAATTGTTGTTCGTTTCCTACCGATTCTTTACACGTTAATAATTGTTTTAATTTATCAAACTGTTTAACACCTTTGATAGTTATTGGTGGGGGCTTATATATTTTTTGAGTATTATCATTACACCTGAATATGTTATTATTATTTTCTGCGTTATTCATAAGGCTGCATCTGAATTGCGTATCACAAAAAATAGCGATGTTGATCGACAACCGAATTGAATGCATGGTTAGGTTATAACAGACATATCGACAGAGTCGAGTTGCGTGCGATTAGTTATATATAATGTAAGTAAACAGTTCAACAATTTATAACTTATGATGATCAGTCAAATAAGTTAACTTCTATTTCAAACACCGACAAAAACAAAAAAAAATGTATATCATGTAGATATATCCAGGTAGATATCCAAGTAAATATATCCAGTTTCATCTCATGTTTGATTAGCTACACTTTATAATCCGTCCTAAGAATCTGATCAGCCCACTATCCAAATTAACGATTTATAAAATGTATTGTCAAAAGAGGCATCAACCCAAATCCACAAAACCATGCGTTTAACGATCAAACGATTCATATTATATTCGGCCAAATATCCTCTGATCTCTTTTTAATGTGAAGGACACCACACCAGCGAGTGTATGGCCAATGATATGAGGTGCATCCAAATTATATATAAAATATTACTTTTAAACGATTTTTCATACAGAAACCTATCAAAAGAAAGCTGACTCGTGTTCCCACATTTTCCACTGAATGACCGACATGTTGAAAATACTCGATATATTTTAAAACCCCATACATTTAATATTGTAATAACTCAATCTATTCACATAATTTTCGAATGTCATTAACCGCCGGCCAACAATCACATATCCGTTGTGCACCCAATTTATTATTTGTGAATCTATTTACAGAAGAAACCCTTTTACTTGTATTTATTTTATTATTATCACACCTATATACCAAGGTTTTGTTAATAATTTTATTCTCTCATTTAATTAATATTGTAATAATTCTTAAATATATTTATACCCATTTATTCTTCAAAATTGTATGTTTGAGTTATTATTGCCTATTATTATAACCTATTGCTTATATATTCCCCGTGTGGTAAAATATAGACAAGAATGTAAATTCGAAAATAAATCCCGTACAGATCTCCCTAATTTAGGAATCGGTATCGATTGGTGACCCTGTTAATTAATTTTTATTCTTCTTTCCCTTTTTCCACAATATCAGTTTTAAAAATTATACAAGACGTAAGCGTAACAGCGCGCACAAATTTAAAAGAAACCAAACTTTACAATGCACGCACGCACTTTATAAATTGCCTATACTCAACTCCTTAAAAATGGTCGCTATGGAATCTTAATGATTTTCGTAAACTTTGAAAAATTATAAAAATAAAACGATTCATCATTAATAATTATTTGAACACAACAATTTTGTTTCTAAATTAGATTTAGTTTTAAAAAAATATAACATAGTGGAATAATAAGCTTTAGTAATTAATAAAATAAAAATAAAATTTAAAAATATTAAAAAGTACAATAGTTATTGCATTTGTCAAATCATCGTGGGACATCTGTATGTTATTTAAAAACATTATGGATCAACTGGACCTTATTAGAATCTGAAATACTATCAGCTTAATTTTTAAGTCCGCTTCCTTTTGACACTTTCCTAAATTGTCTAAAAACCAATATTTATTAGAACATAAATACTATGTTTAAAATATTAACATCTTATTGCAAATTATATTTTCTGTGTTAAAATAAATTATTTACTAGTAACTGTGAATTTTCTAATCATGGCAATCAAAGGTAGGAATGAATAATAATAACATAAATATTTGAATTTAAAAATATATATAATCACTATGTTTTTGTAATACAATTGAATAACTTGTAGAGAATTTAGTTTTTTAAATTGGTATAACTTATTTAAATTTTGTTATCCTCGGGAAAACTACCCGTCGCCTGTTACTTACTAGTTTAGTAAAACTGTGAAAAATGTATTTTTTTTATTTTTTCCCGAATTTCTACGTTCTGCATTATTACAGTCCAGGATATTACGTTCCACGTGCATTTCCCTAGCTCCCCCTTAAAGATTTTTCAATTTTTTTTTTTATAATTATATAGTATGCAATTTGTATGAATTTGTTCGGGTTTATTTTTAAAGGAATAAGCAAAACAAAGTGGAAGGCTGAAAAAACGTTTATTCAGCCCTCTCAAAAAAAAAAAAAAATTGTCCAAACTTTTATTGTGCGAATATTTAGTACAAACGTTGTATGCTTCTATATGGCCATCAATGTCCTATACACTTTTGGGGAGGGGGTCAAAGTATCCTAACCAACTGTTTTCAAAATAACGTTTATAATAATAAATACCATATAATTAAATTTCAAAAATATAACTTAGGAAAAATAATTCAAATGTATAGATAATAAATGTAGGTATGCTAATTATGCAGAATAGTACACAAAGTCTAATGAAATCTACATTTACAAGAAATATTGGAAAACCGTTACATTTATTGCTCCACCTGAAAGAAATAATCTAAAATTACTTTTGAAATACTTATAAAAAAAAATTGAAAAAATATTTAAGGGGAGCTGGGGAAACGTACGTTTATGTTCCACAGTTTTACATTCCGGGTTTTTACGTTCTGCGATTTAATTATTTTATTTTATAATACTTATATTGGAATTATTTAGACGTGGTAAATTTTCCAAAATCATTTGACGACTTTTTCCTTATTTTAATTTTGTGACTATAATACTGTAGAACACTTTTATCCTAGAAAACATTCTTCGATGTATAAATGTAGCAATTATTCTGTAAGTAAATTTTATCATATGGGTAAATACATGAGTCATTTTTGGAATTTTGAAACAAACGATATTTAAAATAAAAACTACTAACCGGGAGAAAATAATGCGGATTTTTCACGATTTCGTTATTATAAAAAAGTACGTACCAAATTTTCTAGCACAAATATAGCGTCAATTAAAAAACGAAAAGAGATATTTTTTGTTAAATTATTTTATTTGTTTTTGATGATGCTGTTCGATTTTTTTAAATCAAAATCGTTTTAATAAATTTCATGCAAAAACGTAGTAAGGTTTGGTAGAAAAAAAATACGGCACATAAAAATATGAAAAGTGGGTAGGTGATTCAGAGTGTAGGAATTTGATTAAAAAATTAGGTCATTTCTACATTATAAGTTTAATTAAACTATGAAAACTTACATTAAAGATTTCAGAAATATTATTTTGTTATCTTCAGGATTAATATTGTAATGAACTATTGTGAATATATATATTACTAAAAATAAAAAAATCATTAGTTCTTATAATTTTAGCTATTATTTAAGATTACATTTTTATCTTTAGAAAAATTAACTAGATTTTGTTATTAAAAAAAAAAATAAATAACAAATACTTTTATATCAAAAGTATTTAATGCAAATCATAATAAAGTTAGATTGTCTGGCATCCGATCAATAGGGTACAGGAATTTCAGTTCAATCAGTATATTGAAAAGCTTGTATCAGTCTTATTATTTCTTTGATATTTCGACCCACAGCCAAATCATTAATTGTCACATGTCTTAAAATACCTCTTGTATCAATTATATAATGAGCTCTAAAAAATAAATATTTTTATTAGATGATTTGTCGATGCAATCAACCATGCTAACTTGAATTACCTGAGAGAATGGCCGAGTTCTGGTAAATAGCATCCATAAGATTTACTGATGGCATGTGTTGGATCTGATAGTAGTGGCAATTCAGGTATGGCATACTTTCCAGTAGATTGTAATTCTCGGTACCATGCTTGGTGGGAATAGTATGAATCCACAGAACATGCTACTATTTCAGTGTGTAATGCTCTGAATTCTGATACTTTACTGCACAGAGCAAGTAATTCAGTCAGACAAACTTTGGAACTATTTATAAAAACATATTAAATTTATTTTAAGAGCGCTATTGCTATTAAAGATTAATGGGCAACATTAGTAATTTTTTTAATAAAAATGGAATTAAATTGTATGACTTTTAGTAATACAGTAATACCTTATAACTTAAAAAAGTTTGAAGAATTTTTAAAGTTATAAAACTAGCATTATTTTATCGAATCCAAATGTGAACCTCCCTTTAGAATAATAGATACACATTGTATAAGTTTAGAGAAATTTATAAATTTTAATTTTCCAATTTAAACTTAACTATTTATAATTTTACT